CGGAGTGGAGTTGCACGCGCGCACACACTCCCTCCCAGCCCCCTCCCCCGCGCCCTGCCTCCCGCCGCCCGCGCCGCCCGCGCTCCCTCCGCGCACTCCCCCGCGCGCACACTTCACACTCACACTCGCCGAGGCGCACACTCGGGCGCTCACACCTGCGCAGGGGGCGGGGAAGGGGACCCTGGACCAGGTTTGAGGGGACGCCCCGAGGACTAAGACTCTCCTCGCTTCCCAGACGTCCCCATCCGCCCTGCCGCCCCCAGTGCCTTCGACTGCGAGGGCACAGAGCCCGGGAGTCAGGCATGGAGCGCGAGAGCTGGCACCGCGAGCTGGGCGACGCGGCAGCCCAGAGGCCCGACCAGCTGGAGGAGACGCGCCCGCCGGCAGCCGCGAGTACCGAGCCCGCCGTCTGCGGAGCCTCGCCTTCCCGCTCCCACTCGGCCTGCGCTGCTGGACGGCGGCGTCCGGAGACCGACCCAGGGACCAGAGTCCCTCCTCAGCCCCATCCCTTGGGAAGCAGGGCTGGGCCTGGAGGACAGGGGTCTGGGGGAGATAGGATTCAAAGAGAACTGTCCAAACTGGGGCAAGGGAACTGCAGGAGCTAGAAGGGATGGGAGAAACCAGATTGGACCCTCTGCACCGAAGCCTGGACTTGACCGCGCACCGCACGCTCGGGCTGCGCTGCAACACCGCTAAACCCTCGGATCCCCAGCCGCGCGTTTGTTGGGGCCCGCGTCTCTCAATCCTCTTCCCCAGCTGGGCAGTAGGGACTAATGCCTCCTCTCCAGCTGCTCCTGAGAAACAATAGAGAAACTGGAATTTTCCATGGGACCAAGCAGGACCGGTGGGAGAGCAAGCTGCAAGGGTTAAAAAGAAATGTTGTTTATTAGCAATAATAAATTTTTTTTTGCAAGTAGCGCTGGGTGTCGAGGGAAGAGAAGGGCTGTGGAGCGAGGCTGGAGCAGGAGGCTGCGAATTACGCAGTTAGGCGAGTTTAATGACCTTTTTGACAGAGACAAAGCGGTGCCGATACAGTAGATAAATAAACGGATCTGTCACCGGGCAGCAGCTAGGTTGCGTGTGAATTTATTTTTCTCATTTAAATAATTTGATCTATTCCATCATTTCTAATCTCTTCCATTTGCCAGCTATCTGGTAAGAGTATGGCCCCCAACATCTGAAGAGCAAATCTTTAATTTTCTTACAAATGTACCACGAGTCTAGCTGTAACCCGCCTGCTAATTTGCCATCTTTTCTTTCCCTCCCTGTCTGGGCGCAAGGGAGCGTGGCATTGTGTAGGGATGTGCTGTTGAAGTATGCCCAGTCCTGCCAATTAGGTGGGGACTCCCTCCCACAGAAAGTGGAGGCGACTGTGGTCCTGGGAGGAGAACACTTCCCAGGGCGCTCCCCGGGAGAGGTGAGAGTGTCATGTGCCCCAGCTCCAGGACGTCATGGATGACCTGCTGGTAAATGGAGGTTAGGGGTGTCTGCCTCTGCCATACATCGGCCTCTCTTGCTCTCACCCTCCAGGAGGAGCAGCTGGTTTCCCGAGCAGCCACTGGAAAGTGTTGCCTGAGGGACAGGAAGGAAGGCCATGCAGACCAGAGCCAGAAAAGCGGCAGGTGCCACCTTTTGATAGACAGTAAGGGCCCCAGTGGACCCAGCAAAGAAGTAGTGCAGGATAGGGGAGCAGAAGATCCCACTCTCTAGGATACTTCCCCACCCCCAGCTTCCACAGCTGGGTTTGGTTACTCCCAAGGAACCAAAAGCTTGGCTAGTCTCTGAGGAAGAAGATTCCAGTGCCTTACTGGAGAAATGAAAAGGGACCTGAACTCACCACAAGGATGCAGGGTTAAAAGACATGGGCAGCAGTGCCCCAGGCTGGTTAGGGCATGAGGTGAAGAGAGCAGAGCCTGGGTGCTAATTCTGTCTGGATCACCCTGGAGGCAGCCCCCTGACACGAGGGGGCAGGGGACACGGAACAAGTGGCTAAGCAGGAAACCAGAAGAAGCAGGAGGTAGAGACCGGGCAGCAGATGAGCAGTTCTTAGGCCAGCAGGAAGGAGAGATGAAGGATGTGGGGACAGCAGGAGGAGGGGGCTCCCCAAAACACTAACAAGAGTGGTGAATGGAGCCAGGGAGGACTCTGGGAGCTCCATTCGAGGGACAGAGTGTGGCTCTGGGCCCCTCACCATCCCCAGGAAGCAGCACAGGCTGGCCAGAGTGGGCAGAAATCCCCAGCAATGCAGTGATGCGCTCGGAGGCTTTTCTCTTTGGCCACTGGGCTGCGGTGGGAACCGACTTCCCAGCAGCAAAGGCTGCAGGGGGCACAGTCCTTAGGCTTGCCAACCCAAGGGGAACCCTGGGGTCAGATGGAAGCTGCTATCCCCAGCCCAGGATTAGACCTCCTCTGATCCAGCTGTGAGCATTTTGTAGCCCAGGCTCGCTTCCCCCCACTGACAGCAGCCTGCTCCCTCCTGGTCTGGGGGAGGGTGGGATGCATCATCAAAACAACAGGAACAACAGTGATCATCATTATGGCACGCTTTCCACACTCCAGACAAGACACTCACTGCCTTGCATGTATCACCTTTTCCAGTCTTCTCCTCCACCCGCCCTGGTAGGATTTTTGTTATTTTTCCATTTTACTGATAAAGACTCCGAGCCTCAGAGGGCTTAAGAAGCGCAAAAGCACACTGCTAGTATGTGATCGTCCTTCCTTCTCTTCCCGGCTCCCTCTCTCCGACTAATATTTATTGGCACTGCTGTTTGGCACTGGATGAGAAGCCGAAAGCCCACCCAACTGCTGGCTTGCAGATTACCCGGGTCCGATGCCACCTGGGCTGAGGGGGCAGGCTCCAGACAAGACCCTCTTCCCTCTGTGGAGGCAGCTGGATCCTTCAGCTGCCTGTGGAAAGGCTGAGAGTAAAGTAGGATGGTGGTCCTTTTTTAGGGCAAGCTGGGGACCACGGTGGTCCCTAACTCATGAAGAGAACCCTGCAGCCCTCTCTCCAGTCCTGTGCTGCCAGCAAGCGCCAGGGCTGGCATGATCTCAAGCCGCATCTCTGGGGATTGCGAGCCGCCAATCCTGGCTTTTTGCATTGTTGGTAAACAAGTCTACCCACCAGCCAGGATTCGGCTCCCCGCTCCCCCACGAGGCAGCCAGCGCTGGATTTATGAGGCCTCCAAACCTCATTCAGACTAATGCAGCTTTTCATTCCCAAATAAAAGGGGCCGCTGTCTGAAAGGACAAGTGCTCCCGCATTTCATTAACATCCCCTAAAACGGCTGAGCTGGCCCAAGTCGCTGCCAGAGAGATTCATGTCTCCCACCGGCTCGCAGGTGGGGTGAGGGTAGGACTCCTAGGAAGGAACCAGATTGCCAGCCCCGCCCTGGCCCCCTCTCAGGCCACGCTCCAGCTTCTGCAGACGAGAGAGGTGGCCCTGCGTGATGACCGAGTGGGCTCATTTGGATGCGTCCCCTGTGTGTGTGTTTTGTTTAGACTGATCCACTCAGCTCTCAATTCCCCCACAATCACGGTGAGTGATGAGGCCCTGGGCTCGAGTTACTGAGATTCATGATCTCCGCTTCCCTGGGAAGCCACTGAGCAGAGCATTCGGCTGCTGAGTGCAGATTCCTAGGACTTGAGTGCCCTCTGCCGAAGCCTGCCTACTTCAGCTCCTCCAGCTGCCTGGCAGTGGGCAGGGCTGGCGGGACTGGATTCTGCAGTCCTAATCCTAACCCTCAGGGTGGAGACAGCACTGCCGGGACCACTCTGTGACCTGCTCTTGGGCACCTCGGTGAGAATAGGGGAGAGGCTATCTTTCCCCCTCTCACTGCAGGACTGGAGGAGACAGCTGCCACCCCTTGCTTGATCTTTGCCAGCTGCCCAAGCAGGGCAGAGAGGGCAGAGACCTCCCCAGGACCCCCTGTGTTTCACAGCACTGTCTTAATAACAAAGCATATCCTCACCACAAGCGCCAAGACCTTTGGAGGACACTAGGACCTGCCTCTTAGCTCAGGGACAGGGACTTTTTCAGCAGCCTGGAGCCTTTGTCCCTCAATCCCATCCCAAGAAGGGAGAAGCACAGCCAGGCAGCCGCCTGAGCAATCAGCAAGTCCAGCAAAGATGGCATCACCTTAGATTTTTGTCAACAGCCAAGCAAGTTCATTCCCACGGAAGTCAATTCCTGTGTTTATTGTCAGCTTAACCCGCTGCTGCAAGTTATTTCTCAGCAGTAAGGGAGACAGGTAGACAAGCCACCAGAGATATGTTATTTTACTGACATCTGCGTTTCAATGGTTCAGGTGCAGTTCTGGTGGAGGAGGAAACGAGACACAAGACACAGCAATCCTATTTGTATCTATACATAATGGAACAGTGCTGAAGGGTGGAAGCCCAGGGGGCCCTGCTGCAGAGCAGGGGGAGGCAGGGAGAAGTGCCTGAAAGGGCTACAGTGCTCTAGCCCCCTTCACTCTGCACCTAGGGTGTCGACAAGTCCCACACTCAGCCAGCTGAGCATTCAGACAGTCTCTAATTTATTCATGCAACCACTCAGTCATTCATTTGGTCAAATTCATTCATT